TAATCAATTATTTATCTAGTATTTTAATGATCAGAGTGCCTGGGGTGATCAAAGGCAGGGCTTGAGCTTCACTGCCTTTGCTCGCTAACACATCTCTCTGTACTTTGATGTGGTACACCAACAAATGCACTTATCCAAAGCATAACTCTCTCCCAGGCTTGGATTTGAGTGGTTCGAAACTACAAATTTTAGAGCTGAGAGACATATAGAGAAAAAACAATGGACCAAAAACAATGCATGTAAAAGTAAACTTATACTATTTATAGTAAAACAATCAGGAAATTTTTTTCAGATCCTTAAGGTACATTATCATATAAATATATATATATATATATATATATATATATATATATATATATATATATATATATATATATATATATATATATATATATATATATATATATATATATATATATATATATATATATATATATTCTATTTAGTAGAAATATGTCATGGTATATTGAATAAAACATTAGTTGCATAGGAAACAACCATGTGGGATGGCAGTTTCTAGTAAAAGATGGTGTTGTAAAAGGGCTGTCAGTGGATGCAAATGAGAAACTTTTCATGTGGACTTGACACATGTTGGTGTCAGATATGCAAAAAAAGTAATAAAAATTGCTAAACCATTAATATTGCAGATAAAATATTGGCATGTAAAGAATTACTTTTGATCCTTATTATGACATTGAAACAGGGTAGGAGTGCTAGTGTTCGAGCCTCTTGGTTTGATAGAAGTAAATACAATATATATTGAAATATAAAAAACTCTCTCTTACTAAATTCAAGGCTGCAAATGACTTTAACCTGTCTGTCCTTGTGCAACCTTGTGGGTGTGTGAAGTACAGGGAAATAGGTGCATACATAATATAAACCATGGATAAACATAAAGCTAGTAGATCTGCGGTTCTAGAAGCACTTCTCTGTTTGAGAAATTGTCATATCCAGTGGCAGCACACAGAAATGCAATCCAAATATAAATAAATGATAAAATTGAATTTAAAACCACAAAAAAAGGTCTGCATAAAATACCATACTATATGGGCAGAATCATACCTTAAAAAGTCTGTATTTAAGGTTTTGTTTTTTATGTGATTGAGTTGTATAAGTGTAGTTTTAGTTTAAATATTGTTTACAGTTGCCTGGTTTAGGAGCTTTGAAAATGATGCCAGTATGTAATGTGTTAACAATGGGTTAAAACCCCATGTTGGGATGCAACTATCAAATACTATTGTAACTGAGTGTTATATTTAGTAGTTCCTTACACAGTTGTGCTTAATTGTTGACATACTCTCCCATTAGAGAAAATGCTAAATTCACACTAATAATTCAAATAACAAAATTAAATTATAATTTTTTGTTAGTTTAGAAATATAAAATACAAATTTTGATTCTTGAAAAAAAAAAAAAAACAATTCTTAAACCCACCTGTCCAAAAATCAAAGTATATTTAATAATTTTTGAAATACCCAAAATGTTGATTGCTTGTTGGCTTTGCTGTCTAAGATTATGCTTACAGGTAATTATACTTAGGGATTCAGAAATGCATCTGTCTGTAAAAACAATGTTGATGTAAGAGGGTTTGTGATATTTTGGAATGAAAGTACTTTGAGAAAGTTCTGTGGACATAATCCATTTATTTTGGCTCACTAAGATTATGACTCAAGAAATATGCTTAGAGCAAAATCTTTGGTAGACATACATTATTGCTCTCTATAGATAGTTTGAAATACCATGAATATTTTAAACAAAAAGGTATCATCTCATTTCAAGTAACATGTCATGTCAAAACTGTGCTATTTTATGACATCTATCCTGCAGAGTGTCATTCACTCAGATTTCCTTTTGCAGGATGTCATGACACACTGCATAACTTTACAGGCTATTTATTGCAGCCATGTTCTCATAACAGCACAATTCCACGACCTGCTTTTTATATGTTTTCCCTTTTTCCATATTACTATTTTTGTTATATTGTACATGCATGAAGTTATGCATTTAAAACACTTAAACTCATATTTTGTTATTCTGTGTAGGTCAGTAATATCTGGAGACATAACTAAAAAGGATTCAGTTTCCTATATACCTTTATATAATATACTCAGAATAGGTTGGTACAGGTGGACACATAAAAAGCCGCTTCACAAAAAAACACTTTATTGACCGAACTATGAAGCATACCTTTCAGCACCATGAGTTGTTTTATACAGTTTACCCAAAGCATAAAACAAATGTCTATTTTTACAGTCATGTGTAGCACAGACCTCGCAGTTATTGTCAGCTTTACTGAAATTCTCAAACTGCACATCAACCATGACCCGGTCAGGACAAACAGAAGTCTGCTTCTCCCCAGGCTGACTGGGCCTTTAAAGCCAAACTGCACCCCACCTGTGGAACACTGCTACACTCCACCTCAGGGCCCAACAGACATTACATGCTTTTAAGAAAGGACTAAAAACCTTTCTTTTTGAAAAGGCATATGGAAACTAAAGCTGTTTCCTATGTTACACACCATTCCTGTTTTATATGTAATTTGACTTCTTTGCTCTTGCAACAATTTAAGGTCTGTAGACAAATGTGAAGTGTATAAAAGAATGATCTATCATTATTAAAGAGTAATGTAATGTTATTATTATTTATATTATTATGGTTATTTTCTTATCCATCCATCCAGTTTCTGTCATGCTTATCCCTGCTGGGGTCACGAGGGGCGCTAGTACTTTTCTCTGGCAGTCTATGGGCGAGAGGCGGGGTACACCCTGGACAGCCTGTCGCAGGGCAACACAGAGACACACAAAGACACACAACCATTCACACACACACACACACACACCAAAGGAGAATTTAGAGAAGCCAATTAACCTAACTATCATGATATGGACGGTGAGAGAAACCTGGGATACCAAGAGAGAACACACGCATGCACAGGGAGAATATGCAAATTCCATTCAGAAAGACCCCGGGCCAGGAATCAAACCAAGAATCTTTTTGCTGCAAGGCAACACGCACTGTTCCACAATGCAGCCCTTTTATGATTATTATTATTATTGTTAGGATAATTATCATTAAAGATGTGTGAGTTTATCACACCCTGGTATGGGCTACCTGTTGTGTGTCGGAACTGATGTTCTAATCTAATTAGGACAGTTCCTCTGTCTGGATATACAGTTATAATCTTCATTTTTGTACATGGCAAAGATTTGGAAATGGAATGAGAGCGGTGTTCTATTTTGATAAGGCTGGCGCCATGGATGTCTAAGCATCTGCTAAAGTGTATGATGTACAATATGATGATGTGGCAGACTGGAGATGTATAAAATGCCTTTTTAACTGTTTATCGGGGCCACTTCCTGAGAGGTGAGCCCAGAGGTGAGCATCTGCCATTCTGTAACCCTAATCAATTTCTCTGCTCTGACTAAGATTACAGTTTCTATCAAAATCTGTTGTCATGTCTCCTGGTCATTTAATACATATAAGTTATGAAATGTTATTTAAAGAGTTTGTCCAGAGTGATCTCTTTTCAGGGAAAAGGGTCTTTAACATTGTTATTTTCAATTTCCATATAAATAAAGCACAAAAAAAAGCCAATCTAACTAACTATTTGATTGTTCCAAAGTGGCTATATTTCTTTCAACGAATTTTGGTGAAGCAAACTCCTATCAATTCATGATGGAAAGGATACCAAAGCCCCTTGTTTTTTTTATCTCTGCTCAATTTATCCATATATCACCAGTTCACAATTGTCATTTGAGGGAATTTAACAAGACCAGAGACTCAAAATTCTTATAAATCTATATCGGAATATTTATGCATCAATTAAGTAGCATGCAATCTAATCATATTAACAGATTTATTTTCTTTTCATTAATATTAACTTTTGTGCATCTGTTTATGGTTGTAATCTGGTTATTGAATTGAGCTGAGAACTTTGTATCAATCCTTCCTACGGTACTGAGGTAGCATCTGGCAACAAGGGGAAGGTACAACTAATTAAACAGGTGGAGACCTCTAGCAGGACCAAGCATAGCATGGATAGTCATCTGTTGCAACCAACAAATGACCATTTAGCAGATTGATACTAAATCAAAATTAGCATTATTTCTTTCTGAATGCATATTTGTGTCTCTAGTGCAATGTAGTTTCCAGCAGTCATTAGATTTTATTTTTCTGGGTTATTTTTTATTTTTGTGTGTGTAAAGCTTTGGTAACTGTTTGATAGCTGCTGCTCTGTTGCTCAGTCAGAATACATGTGAAGACCAATTGTAGCAGAATCAACACGAACTGGTTTCCTGTTTATTTTCTGACCGATCCACCTCAGCAGTCCTCTTGGCCTCCCTGCCTCTAAGTGGATTTTCACTGCCAGACTTGTTGTATTTTCTTTGCAAATAAAGTTGCATTTTCCAATTATTATGCAGAGTACAAAGAAAATTGAATTGGTGATTAAAAATTAACACTCTTATCTCTCTGTGAGTTATATCATTCCCCAGAGAGTGAGGATGCTATGTTGCAGGCTTGCGGGTGTCTTTTGTTCCTAATTTAGAAGCTTGTCGCTGTTTATTGTTAATTTTTTATGCTTCATCTGATATTCTGTTCACTTTTCTCTCCAAAATACAGAGAGAACATTTTTATCAAAGTATCAGCTGCATTTCTTGTGCTGTCAGATCATCAGGTTTGCCTCATGCTTTATATTTTTGAAGTTTCCTCTGCTTAACCTGTCTTGTTGGGAATCCAACTGAGCACAGAAAGGTTAAACTAAACCTTGCATTTGATAAATGAAAAAAACAACAGCAGTAAAAAAGTAATATTTACCCACATTACAAATTCAAATAAAAATATATTATCTTTGAACTCTAGCTGACTCGAATAGGACTGAAGAGTTCCTAGCATTTCTGTTTCGTTTTTTTTTTTTAGATCAAACTGTCTATTTCCAAAGTAAATATTTGAAGATTTACAGCTAGATAATGATGTAAAATCATTGTTTTTTTGTCTTTCAGGAGGCCTGTCAACTTGGAAAGATAACCTCTGTAAATGTAAGCTGCTTCCCTTTATTCTCTCGTAGGCATAACCCAAAGATTGAACTTCTTTTACATTTTCCTCCTATATTTGCGATGTTTAACTTTATATCTATTGCCTTTATGAAAATTAATCTCAAAACATTATTATTGCTGTTCAATTGCTATGTTGAAATATCTACCGTATAACAAATTATTAGATGGACAGATTTTTTTAGGTTGGGTTCTATGAAGGTTATGTTAGAAAGACTCCTCAGTAATGTGAAGAGCTTGCAATTTTAGTAAAGTAATAAACAGGTTTATTATTATTGTTGTAATAATTAAACAAAAGCAATAAATATAATGTATTTTACTGTTATTTGTGCTTAATCTGTGTTATATGACATTGTGAAAGTGTCAAACTATACATGTTTGTTCATCATCCATCCATCCATCCATCCATCCATCCATCCATCCATCCATCCATCCATACATACATACATACATACATACATACATACATACATACATACATACATACATACATACATACATACATACATACATACATACATACATACATACATACATACATACATACATACATACATACATACATACATACATACATACATACATACATACATACATATATACATACTTACATACATACATCCATACATCCATCCATCCCTCCCTTAAATATATGCTGTAAACATAAACTTTATGACAGCACAGTATCCAGAAAACATGTGACATCACAATACTGATACACAATACTTAAATACTAAATACTGCAATGTCTAAAGTACATTAATTATTATTAACCAACATTTATCAGATTCTTTCTTTCATTTGATAGTGCTAATATCCCAAACATATCCTCTGAGTTTTTTTTTATTTCATCCAATAAACATCTTTTAATAACATCAAGAGAAAATTCCCTTTAACTGCTCAGATATGATGTTGTCTTGCAGAGTTGAAATGCGCTATACTTGAAACAGGAAATCTGGATTGAAGTTGTTTGTACTCTAACATTTACAAGAGGTAAAAATAAATTACATGGCATATTTGGAATCTGACGATATATATAAAAAAGCAAACCCTGAATAAGCAGTCAATATCTTACTTGCTGAAGATCTTCATCATCTCACAAAAGCTGATCTCGGAATCAGAGTGAACTTTGTTCCAAAACAGGGTTTTTCAGAAATAACAGGATAACCTGATTTCTGCTTTGCTTTAATGTAGCAAATTTTCTTAAGATAATGATTGCAGGCTATTTTATTAAATATTGAGCTCGTAAAATGTCTTCTGCCAAAACATCAAATCCTTTTCAGTTTTACACTATTTACAATTCAATAAGATAGTGAAACTTTTCCCATCTACAGAAATAAGTAACCGTAGTGCTTTATGCAATATGAACTATTGTAATATGAGTACAGTATAAAAAGCAGCATTTATGGAACTACATGTGATAACACATGTAATCTTTAAGAATAGAGTGTTTTTTTGTTTTCTTCTACATATTGTTTTTTAAGATAGCAAAAATTAGGACTCTTGACTAACCCTGCTCTAATTTGCCTTTAGCTTGACTATCTGGTGAGAAATATCAGAAATCATTCTTCAAACTGGGATTTTTCAAACAACTATCTACTGCAGGTAAGATACTGACTGCTGATGTCATCCTTAAATAAATACATTTAGAACTTTTAAGTTATTTGTCTACAATCTTTTCTGAATATCTAACAAAGAGAGACATTCAAAGAGGAGGCTTGAAAACCCTTCCTAAGATGGACTGTGAATGCTGTTTACAACAATTACACTATTAATTGAAGCCCTGGGGCCTATTACACAAAATCTAAATTAAACAATTAAACAATAAGCAATAAAGCAAGACACCACTTATGAATGGTTCCTGGGTTCATCAATTCAACGAAGACCAAGCCAGGATCCACACCTCAAGCCAGGTGCAAGTAGTGAAGCTAAAAGCAGATCTGCAGTTTACTTCAAGAGGTTGATTCAGCAAACAATAACGTAAATGCAGAATATTATGTAAAAGTTGAAGAATGGGGGAGCTCCTGCCGCCCTGGGCAACCTGCCTTAGGCGGCTGCCCACATCAATCCTGTTAGAAACTGAAAGAAACTCTTAAGGACCAAATTGTGCAAAAATGATCTGTGGAGGACTTGCATACTGTATGTAAACCGCTCATGCACAATGCAATTTTCAAAGTTTGAAACTTAACTTCTGAAAGTCAGGTGCAAACTGCAAGCAAAAATATCTTCAGTAATTATACCCACAATGGAGGCTTTGTTACAATGCCAGAGGTTGGATGGCCATTTGGTGTTTATTTAAATATGTAAAGACCATCAGAAATAACAACATTCAAGTAATATTATGATGGAAAAAAGGTCTATGTGGGCCTACACAGCTTAATGTAGCAGGACGGCATAGAATTTAAGAAAAAATGTTTGCAATTTTGCAGAAATTTGTGTTATTATTTGCTTAGCTAACTTTTTTGCAGTATATCTTGTCATGGTGCTGTTGAAAGGAGATGGTCGAGAAAAATTTAGATGTTTATTGCATAATCTGCCTTTGCTGTCAATCAACATACCAAAAAAAAAAAAACATTATCATGTTTTATGTTTATTTTAGTCTTTTTTCATAATTTAATTTTGCGTTACTATCGTTTGTAGCACTTTAAGATGCTACATATTTTAGCTGCACTATGAATAATCAACCTAATCTTTCTTCTAATGTCAGTGACAAATGCAATCTGCTCATTTTATTAAGCTGAACCAAAATGGTTTACAGGTCTGAACGTTTGTGCACCAATCTTTGTAGGTAACCTACAACCTATAAGCATTAACTTATCGATAATACCAAAAAAAAAATAAAACAATAAAAAACTACACATGCAATTTAGTGCCTCTTAACTGGAACCTTTGAAGATCAGCCCCATAATCCCTTGTCTTGGTTTTGTGGAAAAGACCTCTAGTGTTTCCTCTCCCAATATTGATTTTATAAAGCCAAACGACTAAGTCCTATTTTTGGGGGATTCCTTATTTTTCTGACATTTTACACACTTTCTTAAAAAGAGAGAAATAAAGAAAGTCTTACTTTGACTTTGAACTTAAGCCATAGTTTTAAAGAAGACACAGTATACAGATTGCACTCTAAACAAAATTGAACTTCTTCAAGAGATACTGTAGATTAGGGAAGGCTCTTAACAATTACGGGACATACATCCCATTATCAAATTTCATATATAATATTTCTTGCATGAAATGGGTAATGCAATCCCCAGCTGATTTGAGTAAGTGTTATAATGATGTATTTTATGGATAAGATTGATAACATTTGGGTAATTTGTTTCAAGCAATGCATTAACAAACTAAAATTGTATGTAGGAGCTGAAGAAACATTTTTTCCTATATTATTATCTCAAAAAATAAGAAACATTTACAGCTCATCTAGGAGTGGAAGAAATAGTTTTGGTATTCAGACATCATACATCTTTATGTGTACAGCTTATCAAACTATCATTTACCCTGATTGTGTTGGGACATCTTTTAATCAGACCCTTTGGTGTATTCTTTGTACTATTACTCGTGGTTAATAACACCATTTTCATCGCAAATAGGACAGAAAAAAAAGGTAATTACCTGGTATCTTTTCAAATCCTATCTCATACAACAACAAACTCAAACATCCATTTTTGTTAGTTTTTATCTGATACAGCAACAAAGCATAGCGGAAGGAAATTAGTAGATCTACATAGTTTATAAAGGGATTGGTGAGCATTTATATTCAGCCTGATTTTCCTCTGATGCTATCAAATATAGTTGCATTAAAACAATCTATTTTTAACTAAAATAGATCTGTGTTTTATTTGATTGCGATATAAATGCAACAGTTCTGGGAATCTGGGATTTGTTATGAAAGGTTTTTGCACATAAAACATTTCACTAGACAGGTCAGGGATAGTTGTGAAGAAGTTAATGCAGGGTTACACCTTCAAAGAATATTAATTTAACTTTTTAAGGGGCGTGTTAGACGGTAAAATCATTTGAAAGTGGAAAACATCCTGCCACAACTGCAAACTCACTATGATGCTGTTGTCCATTTAAGTCAGGAAATGACTAACAGTCTGATAGTAACTTTGTAGAAGCTAAAGAAATCTACAGCCAGGATGGGAGACTCTGTCAATAGAAAAATTATTTGGTAAGTACAAAACGGGTCTTTACTGAACAATTTCAGGAAGAAAGTTATTGTTGAAAGGAAATAGTTTGAATCGTCATTTACAATTTACTACAAACCATCTAGAAGGAACCGAAAACATATAAAAGTGGCTATTTTGCTAAGTTGAGACCAAACTGGACATTTAGGTAAACATCCAGGAACTAACAGCACACTATCTTGTACACACAGTCCCCATAGCAAAACATTGTTGTGAAACACCCATGAATTGGGGAAAATTTACTTTGCGGAGGAAGGCAAGCTGGTGAAAGGAGTGATTGACAGTACTAAATACATGTTAATCCTTACAAAAAGAAAAAAAAAATAATAAAGTCTGGAAAAAATCTTCACATTCCAAACAAAAAAAAAAGAATCTAAGCCTAATTCCAGAGCTAATTATATTTATTCCCACATCACATCTAGTATGAAAGACTTTTGTTTACATCTCATAAAATTCCAGTAAATTATTATGTTAGTTTTTGAGCTACAAACCTACGTACCTGTTCATATGAAAATGCAGTTCAATTTCTTTATATTAGACTTGTTTTTCTTCTTATTGGAATTTTACTTTCTTTTTTGTCTAAGTGACAGAGCAGATTGTCATAGCAGAAAAGTCAATAGCAGAGTAAATGGATGAAAATTTATTTGATTTGTTACAAATCACCCACCAATCTCTCAAGGCCCTTGTCAGAATCACCTCCTTCACTAATGTTCCTGCTAAATCACCATCACAAGCGTAGATGCAAATCTCCTTACACATATTGGGCTGCAATTGCACAGCGCCATAAAACAAAATTCTGCTCCCAAAAACTGTAATCTGCCAGCCAATTGTAAAGATACGCATTCTTGACATCAAAGAATAGACAAAACGCTTCAGTATTTTTTTTATATTTACCCCTTTTCCCATCTTCTTCTCTCTACATGTGTGATATAACAAATCACCATCCCCCATGAGCAGATTTATGCAGGTCTAGGTGTGCCCGCGAGGTGATCCTTATCTGAAATGGCAGAGCCAATCTCCCCTGATTCACTTCTAAGTGGTCCCTGTTTATCACTCAAAGTAAGGTGGTTGTCAGCCAAGTCCTTTTCCGTGCCACACCGAGTTCTTTGCTGTTTGGAGAGAGTGATAGTCAAGGTAAAGTGCGTAGTATAATAAAACTCAAAGATCTGTGGTCCAGAAAAGGACAAGGTGGCAGGCACTTAGCCTCTAGTCCTCTATCTCGATGCAACGGATTCGTAATCTAGTAACCTGTGAATCCTGTCCTGTCTGTGTGGTTACAGGAGGTTGGATAGAGGGGGGTCGGATTTTCTGGCATGTTACACGCTAGAAATTGGCGTGAATCTCTGCTGTTTATTTTATCTCTGTGTACATACTTCTAAAGGCAGTGCTTTCTCTGACTCAAAGGGCTTTGTTTGGTCTTGATATCTCTTACTGCAGCTTGTCTTTGCTTTATGGATTTCTGGCAGCTTCTCTAAATAAGTGATCATGCTTGACAAAACCCTTACCTTGACTCCTGGCTGTTTGTTTTGCTCTGCTTTGTTTGTCTTAATGTTTTATTCACATCAATCATTACCACAAGGAGCAAAACTTTTATTTATTCAACACTCAATAATTGTATTTGATACTAATTAATGTTGTGGCTCTGAAAGACTTGGTATTGAGCACATCATCAAAGTATATTAGGCTTTTCTTCACATCTGGTGTCAGCTTGAATGGGCTTGAATAAACAGCAGTCTGAGGAAAAACAGTAGACACTCCCTTTACGCAAAGTGATTATGTCCTAATTGTCACACGCAGCTGTTTGTTCTAATAGATTCTGGATGTCATTGTTGGAGCATTTTTTTTTTTTTCTTTTTTAATAATTGCAATCACGTGAAGTCAGAGTCATCTTTCCTTGTGGTGTTGCCAGCGCTCTGTAGTGGGCTCTTTCTTTTGCTGGAACCTGGGCAATGTTTTAGCGTGCATCCAGCAGCAATTTCAGAAACTGCTGCCAAAGCCTAGAACAAGAAGATATTTAGACTACTTGAAAGCTTTTGCAAACATGGCACTGAGTGCTGTGTAACTTGCCAGTGAGGTATCTGGCTCTGTTTTTGTCTTATAAAATGATATGTAAAATCGAGAAAAGAATAGATACATTTTAAAGAGTCCTTAAATCTTTTCATGCTGGTCACATATAATTTAAGGCAGATAAAAGAGAAAAAATACAATTTCTTCCTCATTTTCGAACTGAAACAGCTCAACCTAAAGGATTTGTTTCAGAGTTGTTAGTTGAAAGCCAGCTTGTTTCATTGCTTGCCCTTTCTTCCTCTGTTATTTTTCTTATGTCTTATTCTCTTACCAGCACCTCCACAGAAAGAGACTTGTAGCCTCAGGATCTTGATGAAACAAGTAAATAGAATATTTAGCTGGCTGTTTCAACATAAGAGAAGTGCTTTGAGAAGTGCTCAGTTGTGCTTTCAGGCTGCTAAGTGTGTGGATTTAGGTTAGTCAACCCTCTCTGATAGTTTTCAAATGAAGCTCTTTGCTTGGTTCTTGGCAGCCTGCCCTTCATTAGAGCCTGATTTTATTTTAATCTTCCACTCACCTGTTTCACTGGCCTCTTTGTATAGAGAAACAATATGTGCTTTATCAGTGCGCCTGTAGTGGCCAAGGGGAAGAATCTGTGAGCACAGACACATATCCTGCTGCTGAACTCTGTGTTAATGATGTTTTTAATTCAGGACTTCTTTATTGCTTTTGTTGCTATAGCAATGAAAAAAATAGTTATTTTTAAACCAGTTGTATTTGCATTTAAAGATCCCTTATCACTTTAAACAAACATAAAATACATGTTAAATGCAGTAACCATGAATGCAATAACCAAAGAATAAACTGAATTTGGAATGATGTTGGATGAAGTCTTATGTGTACAGTTCTTTATAGAGAATAAAGGAATGAAATATAATAATCTGTTATTCACAAATTTAAATTAAAATGGATTTACATTGTGCTTTTATTATCCATCTATGGGATCCCTGTAAATTAAATCCAGTGAAATGCATTTTCTTTAAAAGTCAGTTTTTCATTTACAAAATAAAGTCTTCTTGTGTAATTGGATCTCTGAATAAATAAATATAGCTTTTCAATGAAGGCCTTGGCAGCGGTGCAGGGGTAAAGTCCACATCACATATACGGGAGGCTTACTCAATCCTAGCTGTCACGGGGTTTAAATCCCCATCTGAAGACCTTTCCTGCATTGCTTCCCCTGCTTCTTCATCTCCTTTCTTGTTTGTCTACTGTCAAATAAAGTCCAATAGTTCCACATGTCAGACAATTCAGGGTAAATCTGGCCTTTATTAAAGAGTGACAAGTAGAAAACCTCAAACAAGGGCTTAATGCCTGAATTTATAGCAAGTTGTTGAAAATAATATATAAGTTGTGTTTTTGCTGTCAGTCAGATATCATTAATTTCCCTATTATTTCTGCAATTAGTGTTACAGTAATTGAGATATAAAGCGAACTACTGACATAAGGCATCTAAGAAATAACACACAATATCAACATGATGATTACTTTATCAATGTTGTTTTATTTATGCTGTGTTTATGATTTGTAAAAGATATAAGTAAGCCTGCTTGAATGTATTTTTTTTCTTTATTGCATAATCTAACTCACATTTAGACAGCTTTATTTTCTTTATCAGCCAAATCCTTTGCAGTTTCACACTGCATCATTGCTCATGGATCATGTTTAGTTCACACTAAACATAACTCACATCAAATCACATTTTATGGTATCCTCATAACCAGAGGCATATGCGTAAACCAATATTTGTATTATATGTAAAGCATATTAGCTGTACTTAAGACTAGATCTAGTATGAAGTTAATTAGCTTTTTCCTGCCCATAAAGTTGTAATAAGATATGTTTAAAACTGACCATCAGCCATGTAGAGGATACATATTTAAGAAGATGCTCTAATGAAATTGTGCCCTAAATGGAAAAATGTTGTTTGTTAAAAAAACTGTGAACATTTAGCAGAAACATATTTTTCAATTAAAAATTGTGTAGGCAGCATTTTTCAGTAGAAAAAAAATGAAGCTTCTCATAACTGAGGGAAAATTAAAAGGTATATAGTAAATAATCCTTATGAAGTGAAATCTATGCCGTAATGCCGTAGATTAGAACAACAAAGTAAATATAAAGAAAAAGTCAAAGGCAGAACTTAAAAGTATTCAAACCTAGGATGCTGTTTATTTAATTTGAGATAAAATTGCAGAGAAAAGTGCAATTATAAATTTCCCTCCAAAGTTTGTAAGAGTAAACACTGCTGATTTTTATGTAGATGATTTATTTTAATAAAAAATAATACATGAAAATCAATTTTTTAAATGATGTTTAAGTGTTTGAATGAAAGGTGACAAAAAGTTAATTTTAAACATTTCTTTGACACATTTTCATTGAAGTTAAAGTATTTAGTGCTGTTTCTGCCTGAATTTATAATATCAGTATCAATAACTGCAACTGTGTGATTCATTCACTGTAAGAATCCCCCAAATCTTATCACACATCGCCACATGCAGGACCTTTTTCTAGTTGTTGTTTTTTTCTTGCTCCAAAGAAAGGTCACAACATGAACCTCTGGAAACCTTTGGAGAAATCAAAGGGTCCCTCACAACACACGATAACGCACACATTCATGTGATCGCAACAACTTTTCAAAATCAAACCCTCAGCCTATATGCGTAGGCCTTCATCCTTTTTTTTTTTTTACTTCCTTTGTGCCTCACTTGGGTGAGCAGAAGAAATTAGGACATGGTTCAACCTGTTAACACACATCCCATCTATTCTCAGGAAGAGTATCAGAGAGGTCTTCAATTATAAGTCCTACAGTTACTTTATTAGCTGGAAAGTAATTCAATACACTCAATAGACCAGAAGCAGTTCTGGGTTATGAGGTCGCTCTCTCAATTTCTCTCAATTAGTGTCCTTAATGACAAGATAAAGTTTGGTCATATTTCAGCGTTGGAGCAGGGGACGATGATGGATGCAGTGTTAATCATGCTATTCTTAATACATTTAGGCACTTAATATATTCTATATGTATGCATCCGTGGATCAACAAGCATTTCTACCACCCTTCATAATGATGTTAATATTCTTTGTTTGAAGAAATTATGAAATGTATCTGTATGAAGTGATGAATTAGCTCTATTAAATGTTTTTTTTTCTATAATCCGTAAGTATGTTTCTTTCCAGTGACCAGTAAATGGGCCAGTCAGTTTTTCTTTTTCTATTTTTTCCAAATAAAACACAAAAAAGTCAACAAAGCAGAAACTGAGGTCATGGGTTACTCTTTGAATTGATAATTATATTGGTTTAGAGACATACTGGTGCTTTTAAGATGGTCTTTTAACACACACACAGACCACACAAACAGATCCCGGCACACACACAGGGATAGAGAAGAAAAATAACTACCAGCTCAAAACACTTTTTTTTTTCTCTCACCAAGTTCCAGTGATAAGAAATATGCTGATAGTTTTAGAATAATGTGGCATTGTTTTGAGATAAGCTACCTCTGTTGTTTCTTTATTCTCCTTAGTGGAACAGAAGTGAGCAGAATTTCGACTGCAGTGCTCAACACTTTCAGATATTACATTTTGAAATATTGAACAACAATGTTCCTCGCCAGAGGAGATTTCTCCCTCTTTTTTAGCTTGGGAGATCATGCTGTGAGGTTTCCATTCTAACCCCTTTACAAAAGAAGAGTCTAATGTATTATTTATATATTCTCCAATGCCATTTTGACAAAAAATTATTGGATTTTTCAAAAGTTATTTATTTTTTTTTTTTTACCTTCATTATTTAGTTTATTTTTGTACTATTATATCTGCAAGTGTGTCCAATATCACTGATCTAACACACAGCTCTGACCTTGTGATGGAAAAATTGGAAACTGTTTTCATACAAGCAGTTTGTAATTATTAAATTACTCTTAAAAATAAAATATTAGATTTATCCATTTCATCAACAATTTATTGATATATTTAATTAATAGATTCCAAAACATAAATACATGTTTATCAAATACCTTAAATTTCAACATAGGATATATAATATGCAATTTAGAAAAAACTGTCATGCTTTTTTTTTATTTTTTTTATTTGGACAGTCAAAAAAATCAATTGCTTAATCTGATTAACTCCTAGAATTTTTTTTCAAGCATATCTCCAACCCACAGAAGTTTAGTTAATTCCACCCTTCATCCCAATACCCATGCAGTATGTAAAATTGGGGCGCATCAAAAACGCCACGCTTGCTTCATACACGAGAAAGTATGTACAGTTTACTAAAGCTACTTAGGTTCTTCACATTCTCCTCATTTTAGACACATAATATAAATATATTCTTAGATGCACTAAAATTTATGGCAAGATGAGTTAGTGATAGCAGGTTAAGAAAGTGGGATAGAAAAATGTAAATGTGCTTTTAGAGAATTTATTAAAGCCTAGAATTGTCTTTCAATTTGTGCAATCTATTTCTACCTTCAATATTCTGCCTTGGAATTTCATGCCTAGAACTTAACCAACTTAAACAAACAATTATCGTTGACAGTTCAGAGCATTAACTTATTTGCTAATTTCTATCCCCTTTTGTAGCTACCTTTCATAGCCTCCTACTCTACATCCGCTTGGCGCTCAAAACATAAACTCCTGTCTATAAATTTAATTTACTGTGTAGTTAATTTTTTTTTTGATGAATTATAGGGGGAAAAAAATACAAAAATCATTATGAAAGATTTTCAATGACATTTTATTTTAATTAAATGTTTCTGTTCCTTTTTTAAATCAATTGAATGTTATGAATGATGACAAATTATGGCAGACTGTGATTACTGGTAATTACTTTAAGCCATCAGTTGATGTTGGTAAAAAAAAATGACACATGGTCATTTTCACATTTTGTGATGCAAATGCTTCTGTTACGTACCCAATAATTATTATAATCAAATAAAACAAATATTTGGGGCGTACAGTTATAGCAAACTTCAAAAAGAAAAAGTGGCAAAGATTAAAAATGAACAGAACTGATCTTTAACATAAACACTTGGTGTCTCTGAAAAAAAATAGTCCCTGTGCTGTCTTAGTGTTTTTGTTTTTTTATTCTTTACTTCATTATTCACTAACCACAAAAACATTGCTGTTAATTTTGTCTGACTTTGTTTCTTGCATCTCTTGCTTGTGCTTGAAAACACTTGTTATCTGTTCATCTCCCACAGACCCAGCGCCGTGTGACCTTCCATCTTCCAGATGGATCCCAGGAAAGTTGCAGTGACAGCGGGCTGGGGGACGCGGATCCCAGCAGCACAGCCAGCGCCACCCAGCCTCTCCCCTTGAGCTTCCCCCGAGAAGAATACTATGAGCAAACGTCACCAAACAGTCGCACCGAGGGAGACGGAAATTCAGACCCTGAATCTAGTGAGTAGTGACCTTTTGCAATGTTAAGACAGTAAGAAAACTTTTTATTTGTTTTTTTTTTTTTATTTAAAGAGATATAACTTGATTTTAAAATGACCATATTGGTTTTTTAGATAGTACCGATGTTTAACTCTTAAGGCTCTTAATGTGATTATGATAAAACTGTTTTGAAAAAAGATTCTTTTAAAACACCTAAAACATATTAGACATATTTTTTATGGTGCATTTTCAGTGTTCAAAACAGGTGATTTTGCATATTGGTTGTGGGGCTTTATGTATCAAAGATCTACTAGGCAAGAATAATTATATGTCTGTTTCTGACCGATTAGTTTTTCTATTGATATAGGTTGAACTACTTATCATTTCCATAATGCAAATACAGTATGCGCTTCCCTTTGATGCACATTGCGTTAGCACTGCAATGAAATATTACTTAATAACACAGGTGACTGTAATCTTTAAATTGCTTTCTCATATGCAGCTTGTTATTTTCTACTAGATTAAAGGACTGTTCCTGTGTTTTAACGAGCTTGCACAGTGCATGTCTATATGGTTAAGAATGTTGAATAATTAAAATGGTAAAAGGTTGGATGGATAATTCTACACTGAGCAGATTTCATACAACACACTGAGAATCCTTAGACTGCTACTCCGTTTATAAAACCCCACAGCACAGCCTTTTCAATGCTTTCATAGAAGAATGACCACTTCAGACCAATGAAAAGTGCAATATTTACCACAATATATAAAATAAAGAGGCACAAACTGGAGTAAATTATTCTACAGCGGTACCGACATTTGCTTTTATTTATATTTTTATTAAACTAGTGTTCTGTGTCTTCTCTGTAACACTTCTTTTATAAAACGTAACAAAACACAATCCGCTGATTTGAAATACAAAAACAAAGGGGTTAATTAGCACAATGCTACAGTTAATGAAGAAAATAAATTTTGTAGAGTGGATTTTTGTAAATTCTGAGAGCACAGCTCTGTAATGAATGCTGTGAAATGTACCCCTGAGGTGGGAACTTTGTTGCTGAGATTTTCGTAAATGATTCACAAGACAGCTGTCACTGCATGGCTTACTGCCCAGCGATGTTCCCCATAAAAAGCGTCAACTTCTTCCTCATGCATATACAGTACTTTCCCTCTTTTTTTTATCCCTGTTCAAGAAACTTGCTGGAGGGGAGGAAAGAAGTTTTCCACCATTGGTATTGAAGATCCAAAGTCTATTTATCAGCAGCGATATTGCTGAAATTATTTTGCCTCACCAAAGAATGAACAAGGTTATTCTGAGTGCCACCTTCTCAGCTCTCCGTTCAAAATGGATATTTCAGTCCAAGTGAAGCAGATTTTATTTTCTTCAAGTTACCTTGCACCACATCCTACAGACAGGGCAGGGGCTCAGTAGTGCGCATGCCTTCTGTTGCCACTACATATATAATATGTACCACTTGGCAGTGATAAACATATCTTAGCATACACCCACATGTAGTCAAGTCACTGTGTCACTGTAGAATGTGAGAGAGACCTTGGTCTCTCCCAAGTAGCTAGCCTGGCATTTCCGAGGCTGGAGTGTCAGTGTGACCCATCTCATAATTTTCTTACAGTGGCCTTTCCCAGTAGTAGATTGTTTTCCCTTGAGGAATTGCTTCTTAAACCTGAACTTATTCCATATTTCTATGCAGTTATACCTCTGCAAAGAAATATATATAAAAGCACTCAAACATACATTCTTAGATCAAGCCACTTCCTCCCAAGCTGTGCTCTTTAATGCATTTGCAGTGTTAACAGCAGTGATTCATGTATGTGAATTACTCACGCTGATGCAATTATTCAACAATTCATTAGTATTCAGTGAAATAAACAAGTAATACGTCATAAAACAACTCAAAAATACACTTATTATCCACCCCCCCCCGGGCCAGTGTTTGCTGAAGTGCATTAGTTTTTTAGGTAAAGAGTATGCTAGTGTGATAAATGTTTGTGTAATTCTTCTCTAAGAGGCAACTTAAAGTCAATGCAGTGAAAAGTCTAATGTCAGTAATTGGATACCAGTACAGCTGTTTTTTCTTATTAGACCACAAAGCTTCTACTTATCCTCTGTTATCCCAGGTTTACAATTGTAGGTGTAGGTTTGATGTCGTTTATTCAGATAAAACCTTTTTTTCTGAAGATATGATCTCATCACATTTAAATGTAGTATTTAAAGGCCATCAAGATATGAGTTTGATATATTCCTACACACTGTATTGTCATTTAATTTATTAGAATGTTACATCATTTAGACCTTAGATTATTTACGAGACTTTACAAGAATAAAAGATCTCGTTTTCATTTCTCTCTATGAGGATTCCACTCCAGCTAGATTTGCCTTCAAAATCAACTGAATACTGTGATTATACTGACATTTTTTGCATCATTCCGAGACAAAGTCATATGACTTGCCCAGCTTAGTTTTCCGTCTTCCACAAGTAAAGTCAGATAAACTCTTGACTTTTCTGCTGAGATCAAAGTGGAGACGGCTCTCGTGTGCATTGACGGTCTCGGAGATGAGTGCGTTTGGTGACAGAAGGAGGGCTAAGATGGATTAGATATGGTTTTATCAATGAGCACCAGAATGGCATGGCAGCTGCAATTTCTTATCATATTGTCTCAATTTGTAAAGCAGGAAGAACCAGAGGAAAAAAAAAATAAAAGAAAGAGGGTGGAAAGTGAACTAAAAGAAATATGAATGTGAGGTTAGAGTGGTAGGATGAGAGAATTTCAGCAGTTCTAAGTTGAATTGTTTTGTAAAGGTACAGCTTTAATCCGAATGTCAACTTGCACTGAATAATTGTCTGTGCCAAAGGCAAGCCATGTGGCCGTCTTATGACAATGAATTTCTCAACTCCTTTTAAACCTGCATCTTTATTAGACCACCTTCTCTTGAAATAAAGTTCATGTGACATTTTATGTTTCTATTATTTATGAGCTAGGCGGCTGTTCGTTTTATGGATTCTTGCCTCCCCCTCCAGGCTTACTTTGAGACCCCGCCATCACTCTTGTGCCGTCGCCTTTTCTTGTCACATTTTGTTTCTAAGGGTTTAATCGCCCCATCTCTGTCCGGGCAAATAGATTAGCGTCATTTGCATCAAGTCTCATTGCATTTATTAAACACCCTTTATGACATTAACATTTTAAATCATCTAAATTTGGATAAATAGTATCTGACTTTTTGGCAAATTTGGAGCTTTACATTATGAACATAAATCATAAATGCTTTTATGTATATGATCCTGATCATATAACAGTGTTGCTTTTGTTTACTCTATATCTGTTTAATAACATGAGTCATACTCTTGATTTTTCGTGTTGGACTCTATTGGTTTTAAAAACATATTTTCTTCGATTGAAAAGAGCACATTGCATGGATATTAACAATAATGCTTGACCCAGCAAAGCTAAAACATTTTCATCCTTGAATACATTAAGCCACCTGTGGTGTGTGTTTGTTTTCTTAGCTCTGGTAACCAGAATGAAGCCTTCTTTCTGTGCATCTGGTGTTCTGCACTGTAAGCTTTTAGAAAAAAATATTTGATGTCACTGGCCCCTGGTTTACCAAACTGGTGTTTATCCCAGTTCTCTTAAACGTGGCATTGTGGAACCACTTCTCAAAACACCTAATCTGCACCCTACAGATTTAAAAAACTTCAGGCCCATTTCAAAACTTCCCGTTTTATCTAAAGAAGGTGGTATCTGATCAGTTGGTACCCTTCCTGAAGAAATACAACATTTTTTACACTTTTTAGTCTGGCTTCCACAAGCATCACTCCACAGAAACTGCCCTAGTTAACCCCTTGAAGCCTAAATTGATATACATGTACATAGAATAATACATTGTATGCGTGTTGTTCCCTTCAATAAGATACCAAATTAAAATTGTTAATGTTACTAATTAAATAGAAATGAAGGTAAAAATATATTTTGTAACAGCAGTTCTAACTGTACATAATTACATACACTATAACTAGCACTGGGGTGATGTAAAAACGCTATGGAGGCTGTTTACCAAGACTGCAAAAATGTTCTCAAAATGAGTAAAAATGTCTTAAAATAATTGTATTTACCCTTACTATGAGTAGGAAAATAAGATGATCTGCCAATGGAATGAGCATTTTTATCCTTAAAATAAGATAATTATATATTATGCACTTCAAATAAGAGACTGCAGTATTTCTTTTTACATATTTTAAATGTACATTATCTTTTTCCAATGGCAAAAATTGACTTACTTAGATTTATATTTTTTGCAGTGTAATACAAGCGGTTTGTTGCTTATTAGCAACAACAGGCATCAGGCATCTCTGCCTCAGATAAAACAGAGGTGTTGGTGATTGCCCCGGATGAAGCTATTCCAGATATCCACCAGTATCTCGGCGACTTGAGTTTATCTGCTAAACCAAGCCTTAGAAACTTTGGCGTTATCTTTGACAAAACATTGTCCTTAGAGCACCACTCAAAACTGTTAACAAGGAACTGTTTTTACCAACTGAGGAAAATCTCAAAACTTACAACAATTGTGTCCAGAGATGATCTTGAAATGATTATCCACGCCTTTATGTCTTCCCCTTTAGACTACTGTAACAGTCTATTCTCATCTCTAAACAAAAAGCAGTTGTCTCGTCTTCAGTAGGTTCAGAACTCTGCGGCGAGGTTACTGACTTGTACAAATAGAAGCGCTCATATTACGGTGATTCTAAAAGTTCTTCATTGCATCCCAGTCTCTTTTTGGTACCACTTTAAAATCCTGGTGCCGACCTTCAGGGCCTTTTAACGGAAGGCTCCCTCCTACATTAGAGACCTGTTGTGTCCTTATTCCCCCTCTCGGAGGCTGAGGTCTGAGGACCGGAACCTGCTCATGTCCCTCGTACTCGTTACAGGACCAGGGGAGATCGCTCCTTTCAAGCGGTTGTGCCAACGCTCTTGAACAATCTCCCGCTTTACTTGCGCTTACTTGA